TTGAATAAATGGTGTGGGCCAAAACCATCTCAGTACTCCCTTATATATTTCATAATTCAAAATTTCCATGAAAAGAATTTTTTGGAAAAAGAAAAAAAAAAAGTCAAACTGCTATGCGTGTAAACAAAAATTGTTAACCATAAAAGTCTCTCCAAAACCTGTTAATTATTCAAATTATACTCAAGCCCCACACCCAACCAATTTAATTCATGAAATTGTTATTCCAAGAAAATTTCAAATTCATCAAGCTATATAACTTAAAAAAAATTTTATGTAAAGAAATTAATTTCAAATTCCTACAATTTCTATCACCAGAAATGACAAGATTTCATGAGACAAATTAAGAGACTTACATTAATTTAGGATTCAATTTCTTTTTTACAAATTTATAAAGCAAAAACAAATTTTATTCACATGGAAGATTTAAAAACTGTTTTCTTGATGGCCTTACAATGATGTTTATTGAATGAAGAAACATTCACAAGATTTTCTTCCTTTCTTAATTAGGCTACAAAGAAATTATATATATATATATATATATATATATATATATATATATATATATATATATATATATGTTACAATTGAATGATATACTGGTATTGTAATGGTGGCTTGGAAGGAGAGATTGGTGTACTGAATGAATTCCATTTTAGTATCTCTCCCTCCAGTTATGGGTCAAATAGCAGGACAAACAGGATTCTAGCCATGATTGACAACACATCTAGAAGGCAGGCAACTCTGAATATAACACTAGCAAAGCACATACTATACAGCCATGGAAAAGATTATGAACATTCATGATTGGAGTTAGGGGGTTGTAGGTAGATAGGTGGTTACACTTGTGATGGCCTTTTCATACCCCCCCCTACCTACTGCATCTAGTAAACTATTATCAGCCAGTCAAATATCTTCACTCTTGACACAATATTGTGCTATACAGCAGGAACTTAAAAATGTTAGAATTATTAATACTAAAAACGGTAACATTTAAAAGAAGGCTAGGGCATTATAAAAAGAAAATATTGTCCTTGTCCCTTTACTGCAAAAAGATGAGAATTTATAGTGTGAAAAGTTAAAATACATTTGCCAAAGTAAATAATTGTTATAAAGTTAGATGTTCTGCATAAGTGTTCAGTCAGTTATGTACTATGCATGATACATGCTTAGGCAATACATGACTGACGAGGCAGATTTTTTTCCTGCAGTACATTGTCATTTCTTTCTGTGGTAGACCAGTTGAGATCTAAGGCTATAGTACCTGGTCTATCCTGCTATTTACCCATAGCTTTCCCAAGGATATTAGCACGTAAGTGAAGGTAATGGTTTCAACTGGAATTTGAACTGCTCTCCAATTTCTCATATTGAGCCACTATCCATTACTCCACCATAGATTTGAAATATCAAGTGGATTTACTAAACAGGCTCTACATATATTTTGATCTTCCAGGTGAAATATTTCCTGTCTTGTACCAAGACAAGAAATATCTGAGTAGCCAAAACTTGTAATCACTTAACTGTTGAAACTGTTAGGGTCACTCCCAGAAAGTGAATTATTTTTACATTTTTTAAAAGGCACAGATAAGTCCTTGGAAATTAAAAACATTTCAAGAAAGGAACTCATTTAAGGTTTCAAATCATTTAAATCACTTAAAGGCTTTCAAACATTTTGGTTAAGAAGTTGCATATAATGAATTGTTAGCAAAATGAGAAAACTGGCAAATCTGAAATCAGGCATAAAATTTTAGCTTGAGTTAAGCTGGTACAGTCATTTTTTTTTTTTTTTTACTTTTAGAATAGAACATGAAAGGGAACAAAATGTCAAACCAAAAACGTTTAACAGAATTATACATTTCCAAATAAAAACACTAAATAAGTGAATTTTCAGTTTGAGTGAAGTTTTCAAGTTTTATCAACAAAGATTTCAGGAACCATCAAATTCTCTTTCAGTTTTTATAGAACTGCACAAACCTTTTTTGTTAAATTCTTTTTCTAATTATCACAGGCTTTTTAAAATTTTGTCCCATAAACAAAAGGTCAATTTAGTTTTGACATTTTGTGAAAAGAAAAGCTAATAAAATAATGTTAACTTACATGTTAACATTACAACAATTATGTGCAATTGACAATGCAGCAAAAATGAATAATGTACGACACATTGTGAAAATTCAACATTCAAATGCAATTTCAAAGTTGTTTTTTGTTTTAAACCCAAATTCAAAAGATGCTTGGTAGGAACATTTATATTTTTCTAGGCAATTTCTTTAAATTAAAGATACAGTCAACCACTTTCAAGGTAGACAATTTACCAGGTTTAAAGAAGATAGTAAAAAGGTGATTCTGTTGTCTGATTGCAAGAGAGACATGGGATGGCACTGAATGAGGCAGCAGCTGCTGGAATAAGAAGCATTTAGGTAAAGTGGTAGGAAATCAATCAGGTGTGACCCCCCCTCAAGTCGGCTAGTCTTCCATGGGCAACTGTGGAGGGAGAATCAGAAATAATGATTTAAGAGTAGAGGGAAATGCAACTATAAATCATTGAGTGCAGGCAATGTTAACTGTCTACATAACTAGACATATGAACAAACTAGGTCTGGATTACTACTGAGGATCCTTCCATCCTTAATGAGTATAACCAAGAGACTCTAAATGAATATCTGGTGCACAGTCAGGTGATGACTTCTTGCAAATGACAGAAGAGAAACTCATTACAAATGCTGCATACTTCCAGTTGATGGATCGTGCTCCACCCAACAATATTATTGTCGTTGTAGTAGTCTATATCTACCTTAATAAGGCAATCTGGAAGATGGACTACAAGAGAGCTACTAACACAGCCGGTATCTTCTCCAGACCTCATACCAAGTGGTTTCTTAATATGGAGGATAGTAAGAGAAGGTGATTATGCTATAATACAATGTAATGTGGGAAATCTCCAAGAGATAATTTCAGCTATGATGGCAACAATACCCAAAGACAAAGGGTTATAAAGAAAATTACAGAAATATGTTGACTGGGAAAAGGTGAAGACTCCAGGTATTTTATATTATATACTCCTGGCCATGTTTCTCTATGTATTTAAGCATCCCCACCACAAAAAAAAAGAAAACATTTGAGAGTTATCCAAAGAATTTAAACAGATTCAAAAAATAACATGTACATGCTGAATTTGATAATTCTATTATCATTGTAAGTGAATGTGCTGTTAGCAAAATTATTTGCAAATAGGTTTTGCTTCAACCTAAGCAAAAACTGTGCAAAGAATCTTGAATTGCAAGCTTTATATTAAGAAAAATGAATGTAGGTTGTGAGTTGAAGGTTAGCAACAGGAGTTATCTGCAAGTAAATTAATCTGAAATTTAGCAGCTTCAAAGTTGAATGGTAAAGGAATGAAAAAATGTTCAAGCAAGCACCAATCAGACTTAAAACTAAAATACTAATACCCATTTAGTATACTTTACAGTAAACTGCTGTTGAAATGGATTATAAATATTCTTTATAATTGCAAAAACTGTTTCAAATGTTAGAATTTAGAAATTGATAATTTAAACTGATCAATTTTCCATACATTCATGCCCCCCATCATCCTATTCATATAAAAACAGATATTCACAAATATCTTGACATTTTATTGGCATGAAAACTGAAGAGTCAAGTGGTTTAAAAAAAAAAAAAAAAAAAAAAAAAAAAAGGCTTAATATGCATCACTCAAATTTAATGAGAAAACTTTCAATGATTGATATAAAAAAAAAAAATAATCAGTATAAAAAAAAGTTTGTTTCAAAATGGTCCCCCAAATTAGTTAAAAAAAATAGTTACAAATTAATTACTATACTGGCAAAATGTAGATATTTTTGCATTTTAAGAGAGAAATGCTAAAAATCAATGAAACTTCACATTATTAAAAAAGTAACATCACTTTACAATGAAAAAATTACAAGATTAGTCGGGATTTAAATGAATATTAAATTTTTAAAAACACTTTTGTTTGAAAGATTATTTGGTCAGCTTTTCAGAGAAAAGTTATAAAAAAAAAAGAAAAAGAAAAAAGAAAAAGGCTATTTTTAAGTTAGGAATAAAATGGAGAAAACATGCAAAGAGGTAACCCATTTGACAATTTCCTAGAACAAGACATTAGCAAATTAGTCACATTTGCATGGAAAGCCACAATTAAACTGCTTAATGATATCAGCTCTCAAATATTTAATTAATATTCGAGTCAAAATTTACTGATTTTTTAAAAAATTAAATTTTAGCTTTACATTTAAATATCATCCTAATCTTGTAGGAGATTAGGAATATTTTACTATTATCTGCAGTTTTTGTTTCCTGCCAGTAGGTCTTTATAACTCCCATGGTGAAAAAGTTCTTGCAATACCACAGCATGCAAATCTGAAGATGTTCAAATAAGACCACAATTGAACATAACTACTTCAGAGTAGGGTGGGGGAGATAGGATGAGAAGAGTAATGTTATTTAATGTCTGTGTGATATAGTTTTAAGGCAGGCTACATTTATAGGTCAAAAGTGCTTAATATCTAAGATGAAGTGTATGTGTGTGTGTGTGTGTGGGGGGGGGAACACTGATGTCAACACCAAATGGCAACAGTGTTTTATACTTGAATGTAATTGTCATAGCCTGAAGATTGTGTTCAAGAAACTGACTGTCATCACTTGGTGTTGACATCAGTGTCCACACTTCTTATATACAAATGCTAATTTTGGTCCAGCATGATGAACTTTACAACCACTTAATATGGGGTAAACAATTTTTCAACTCCATTTACATTCATATTTATCATGAGTGAAACATAAAATTGAGCTTAAATGAAAACTAATGATCAAAGAGATTAATAAATGCAATAAACACCAAGAAGAGTATGGATCAAGACGCTTAACAGGAAAAAAAAAAACAAAAAAAAACAAACATACACAATGATACTAGAGTCTGAATCATTTCAAACAATGTTTAGGGGTGGGGAATAAAATAAAATACTTACAAGCTATTTGTGATTTTGAAGATTGGTCGCTCTCTGTTCCTTCATTTACAGCACAATCAACCTGAAGGGAAAGAAAAAGAAAGAAAAAAAAGAAAAAAAAATGCTTTAAACTTTGACATTTAAAAGGGCAGATGAAAATTCAAGACTGATACAAATGACGATTAAATCAAAAGGAAAAACAACAAACATTTTGTTTATTTCTTCTAATTTTAGTTAAGGAAGCAAAAGAATCAATTAGGAAGATTAGCTGATAAATAGAATTGAGGAAAAAAAAAAAAAAAAAATGCTAATATCTTTTCTAGAAGAAAAGAAAAAAAACATGTAAAATATAATACAAAGTTTAACTAAGTTTTATTAGGCTGCTCACAAAGTATTATCATATTTAAAATACAAATTTGGAAGAAACTATCTGAGAAAAAGGTTTAATAGCCAATAAGATCTTCAGTTTTAGATCAGGCTATGTGTTGTTTAAAATCAAGAGACAAGACATTAATATGCCATATTCACTATTGCATGTTGTATGCATTTCATAAACAGTCTCCAACTAAGTGTTAGCAATGGTTTAGAAAGAAGAAGTGGCTGAACTCTCTGATCCTAAAAAGAAAACCACTTTGCATAAACAACTTTTAAAAAAAAGTCATCTATTCAAGTAGATCCTCATAAAAGCTTGAGTTAAAGTACAACACATTATGGCCCACTACAAAAGCATCTTCAGCAAATGTGGACAGGAGGAAAAGGAATTTTGTTTCCCCACAAACTTTACCATACAATATTTGCAAGTTTTTTTGTTTTTTTTTAACCAAGAATGAAAACTTTCCTTTTCTTCAGATTTTTTTTTTTATATATTAAAACAGGTACTGTAAGCTAAAAGCATGAGCCACCACCCCATCCATCAAACTGATTCCAACACTAAAACTTGAACTTAATTCACAAAAAGTTTGGTAATCTATCTGATGTTAACATGAGAATCCATTACGCTGTATTGGGTCTTGAAGAAACCCATCAGCAGTAAGCCATTGTCAACAGCTTTTGTCATTTAAGGCTGGTTCAATAAAAGAAGCTCTCATCTTCCACCTATGATAATACAAAATGAGCAGAGAATGTTTCACCTAGTCCTCCACAGATCTGCTGCCAGATTATTCAAAAATAAAATATTGATAAAAATCTTATTTCCATAAAACAATTATATCAGCAATCAAGAAAATTTAAATTATATTTGCCCTGTTATCTACTATTAAATATTATTTTATATTATTTTGTGAATAGTTTAATACTTGGAACAAGTCGGTTAGCATTGTTCATTTATCAGTGGGCAGTGGATCCATTAAGTGACATTAGAAATGAAAAAGGTCTTGTACAATATTTTCAAAACAAGAAAACAAAAAGAAAAGTGGGTGGCTCTTGAAGTCAGTTGATGTATAATTTTAGTTCTCAAGTAGAAATAAATATGAAGAGAGAATTTGGCAATGAAATGTTCAATCATGCATTAAGAGACAGCTTCAAGCTTAAACTGCAGGGCACTTACACAAATTATTGATCCAAGCAAGTCAGTTGAAGAGACTTTTTGGCTAATTAATGCATTTTGCAAAAATAAAAACTTCACAATAATTCTATATATGTATTCTCAGTATAAGAACACAAGCAATTATAAAGAAAAAAGTTTTAAAATAATCAGCCAATTTGATCCAGTTCACAAACAAACGTTTTTTTTTTACCATTAGAATCACAAAATTCAAATCATTGGCCTACATATTAAATATGTAAGAGCAGGGTCAACATCAACACCTTCATATTTGTGACATTTTCAGAGGAATTCCCTAATGTAGTTCAGACTGTGATAATTATTTTTTCTTAAGATAATTTTTCCATAGAAATAGTTTATTAAATAAGAGGCTTTTTTTTTTTTAATCTTAGAGCCAACATTGTATCTTTTTTTTTTGTTTTTTTTTAAGTGATGAGCAAGAGAAACTCACCCATTGTTGCTTGACTTACTTTAATAACATTGGCTTTTCTTCAATGAAAGTATATTTTATATATATAAATATATATATATATATATATATATATATATATATATATATATATATATATATATATATATATATATGCCGCAGAAAGACAGAGAGGAAAAAAAAGTTACAACTGATGAAAATATTAGAATCGTTAGGATTTATTCTCTAACAAAAAAAAAAAAAAAAAAAAAAAAAAAACTGACAGCTTTTTCCAAAATGAACAATAATGGCTACCTCTATCAGGTTTTGCAAAATTAGCATATGATCTCATATGGGAAGCTGGCCCAGCGTTCAAAGAGGGTAAAAAAGAAAGTACAATATATGACATCATTTGTAAACTATATGATAGTTAAGTCATCAGTAGTGGAGTAAGAGTCGAATTATCACTTAGCAAGTTGTTTCTATTGAGGTGGTCAACAACTTCCTTGTTAATGGCTTCAAAAAGTTTGCTGAGGAGGTTGAAGGGATGATAATGTGATGAGGATGAGAGCTTACCTACATTCTTGCACACACACAGCATAAACTAGACACCTTCCATGGTCATGAGAAACTTCTTCTGGCAGGGCTTAAACAGATTTTCCAAGATTGGAAATAGTTATTCCCAAGAACCTTAGCTCAGAATTATGTGAATTTTATCCAGACCAGTAGCCTTTGTAGAGATTCAAGGCTTTTGATAAGTTTGGAAAATTCCCAAGTTGAGATATCACAAAGTGTGTGGTCCATGAGGTGAGGGAAAGTCAGGTAAGGAATAGCCCTTGTTGTGTTACCTGGAGTTGGAGATAAAGTTAATTGTAAAGAGCTTATTCTTATCTGACAAAGATGAGAATAACTTAAAGGTGATTTGTAATGGAGGGCACTGATGGTTTGCCTCTATTGGTCATTACTTTTATGACATGGTTTTTGGACTCTTCAAGGTCTTTCAGGCGTCCATCATAATCTTGTAAGAATTTCAAACGGAAGCGTTTGTTCAAGCTGCAGACAGAAGACAATTTTTATTCTGCCATTCATAAGAACTTCTATCAGTTAAGGTTTCTTACTCAATTATTCCTTGTTCATTGAATTAGAGTGTATAAAGGGATTGACCTTATGACCACCAGGTAAATAGATACTCTTACCCAAAACTTATCTACTAGGTTAGGTGCCTCATAATTTGGTAGTGGAAACTTATAGCCTAAAAAAAAAAAAAGAAAAAAAAAGTTACTTGTCTATTTCTTCAACCTCACTACCAAAGTTTATAGCTCACTCATATGAATCACTAAAGATAATGGTAGCATTCTTTTCCTTGCAAGGGTCATAATACTGACAATTCAGACACTTTGAAAGAAGCTAGGAGATAAATAGTGAGAAAAATCAGAAGATTTCTGCTTGAGATTCAATAAAACAAAAGATGAATTTCTACATATGAGAGACATTTGAATAGTTTGCTAAACATCTCAGATTTTAGCTTATGGATAAGAAACTTTTATCTATGAAAATTCTGAGGCCATTATACCCAATAAATTTGACAGGAAATTCTGGATGATACAAAAGACAATATTGACATGCCAACATTATTCCTAATTTAGAAGAAAAATTAAAATAAAGATTTTTGTGCAAGGAATTATTTGACCAACCAACCAAAAAAAATCCACACATCTCTCTCAAAAGATAAAAAAATGTAAAAGAAATTAGATTACTTATGTTCTGAAATGTGTAAAGTATATAAACAGGATGTACTTTTTTTTTTCAAACCAGGAAGAAAACAATAAATGAGCAATAATAAATGAATGCATTTGTTCAGTTCTTACAGTTAAAAATAAATAACAACTACAACAATCATCTTCCTATAAAAAAAAAAGGAAGATTAAGAAAATATAGCATGTGTGCATGCGCACGGTGATAAGGCATTAGTTTTTGCTGTACGATGTAATATTTTGGATAGAAGCATTGAAGTTGCTTATTCTGATTTCTCTTAAAAGTTTATATTTTAGCTTTTTTTTTTTTTTATATAGATATATTGCAGATGTGTAAACTATTTCTCAAATGAAATAACAGAACCATTTTCACAAAGAAAATAATGTGCATAAATGTTGCTAAGTTATTTAGTAGCTATAAATATATAAAAAAAACCATTTAAATCTTTTTCAATTATCCATTTTTTTCTTTTGTAATTAATACTAAGACTTTTGTTATTAGCTTATTTCCTAATATAATTTCTCTAAAGCCACAAAAAAATATTAGGACCAAACCATACATAAGTAACCAGGCCATTAGACGTTTGAATGCTAAAATGTTTGCATTAAGCTAGGTAGTCTTGTAAAAATTTTCATGTGTTAACTGAAAATAACATTTCCCCATCCTATAGATGCTCAAACATAAAACAACAAATATGTCATAAAATGATGATTTAGTCAAGCTGCAAATAACCAAGAGGAGAAGATCTGGTTATTGCATAACAGCCTCGAAATGGGTTCAATGATACCATTTTAGAAAATGAAAAAAAATTTTTTGGATTTATTTTTGAGAGAATTTCAAAAGAAAATTGAAGACAATTTTGCTTCTTCATAAAGTCTGTCATCAATTGAGCAGCCAATCGACAATGCTTTGGGTATGGAGGCAACTGCAGAATGGACCATGCAGATTGGTTTTAAAGATTCATTTCTCTCGACGTGAATTCTTCAAGATAACCCTGGTCATGTTGCAAGTTGTCATTTGACATTGAAGCATTAAAAGGTGGCATAGAAACTCATTTAAAAATGAAGTCAGTCAGGAACAAAGCTGATGGTAACCCAGACAAAAGTATAGACATTTTGCAGAAATCTGCCAAGAAATTGCAGAAGTCAGTTTTTGCCCAATTTGACTGAAGATCCATAACCTGAATGATTTTGGCACTTGCTTTAATTTACTTGGCCATTTAAAAAGAAAAAAATTTACTGTGCTTTGTTTTTGCTGAAATGTAGGTTCTCAATTGAAAGGGTGGGGGCTCGTTGAGTTAATAAACTTGCTAGTCAATCAACTGATATAAAAAGAGAAATCTTCACCCCCTCCTCACCCATGATAAAGATCTTGA